AAGAGTTCTCTAAAATTTCTAGGATGACGACAATACTAGATTAATATTTGGTATTAATAACAAATACACACCATTTTGATCTTTACAAGCCATAGACACATAATTACAATAAAGAAAAACATGATAGTCGAAATTACCTTGCATCTAATTATCTCCTCCTAACTAAACCCGATTTGCCTACCATTGATGCAGGCAATACGGTAGTTTTTTCAGCTACCTCTGCAAACCCTTTAATATTAGCTTGGATCATATTGTCTATCCCCCCTTGGGAGTTAGATAAAATATTACAACTTTCTTCATTCCATTCACCCCGTTCATTCGTTGTGGCTGGCAACTCAGGACTTTCGTCAAAACTAATCAAATCCTTCAACTGGTCAGTGAACCTATCGGACTCTTTCATCTCAGATTTATACAAGACATCAGAATCAAGCAAAGAAACAGAATCCTTTTGGGGAGATTGAGATTCAAGGTAATTGATTCTAAACATGAGAGAAAGGTGAGCGAGGCTCAACCAGAAGAGCTGCTTTGTAAGAAAGTATGGTTTGGAGCTAGCAGCTGCGTTTCTGATGTCGAAGCAGCAAATCAGTGCTTGTTTCCCCAGATTGATTAGGCAATGCTTCCATGTCATGCAGAATCGCACGAGGCTGGTGCCTTGCTGTCTACAGAACATGGTTACAAAAGGTGTAAGTATTTGATCTGTTAAATGAAATATCATATAATCAGAACAGAAACTTATGAGCAATGATATAAGGGCAACACTTACGTGAGGGATGACATAAGGGCGGATTAACAACCCAATGATTATGCCTAATATACATGAAACTAACAGTGCTACACTCCAAGTTGTCACTGCTCCCAGTGCTGATAAGATGAAAATAAATGAAAGGTTGAGATCTAACATAGCTAAAAATTGTAGTCAGCAAATGCTAGAATAATTTTCAACAATGTAAGGAGCTCTACATCAGCAAAAGACTTGCTTCTGGAAATAGTAGATGGATAAAGATGCACGTGATAGCAAGTATTTATGAACTGAAGCGCATTTAATGCAAAAATCAGACGAAAAAAAAAATTTTAGCCGCCCCTCCTCATGTGCATTCCATTTTGTTAGGAATGTTTTTATGCCCACATTCATCAGTAAGAAATGTTATGAGGTTGCATCATATAGGACAGTGAAGTATCCCTGTATCAGAAGAGTCATAAAACACTTATAAAAGAAGGTGTTCCAAACTTCCAATCTCAGTCTTTTTCTTTCTCATGATGCATTGAAATGTGAAGACTGAAGAGTCCATGTTGCAATGGCAAAAAAATAGAGAGTCAATGTTGCAACCAGGCATAGAGCATAAGCATCAGAAGTAAATGTTCATCACAATCCCTGCTCCCTTCAGACATGTCATGAGATAAGAAAACATGTTCCATACAGGAAATATAGATATTATCAATTTAACATGAGATAAACTCTAGAGTTGATGAATTTGTTAGGCATTGCTTCTTTGCTAAAAGCTTGTGATAGCCTTGGTAGGTACATCTCTTATTGCCTCACAATGCGTTATGGAAGATAGAACTGACTAAACTTAAACAAATCAAAAACATAAAAACAGAAACAAAAACCATTTTCCATCTAAATGCCAGCTAGGACCATGCTGAGATAGCTCACTTCTTCCTGCCTCGAGAACAAAATGCAAACAGCCGAAGAGACTACATATAATACTTTTAAAGGAGACAAATTTTAGTAAAAAATCGTATTAGGTGACCTACGGCTTGTCCCTAATACTGACACAAAAAGGATCAAATGACCAAAACATTTTAGTATTGTCTCAAGACGGTTCTTTTCTGTTTTTTCACCATGCATCACTGGTTTTGCATCTTGAAAACCCTAGACACATAGAAGACATACAATCTACAACAAATTTCATAATACCCAACAAAACAACGCCATACTGACACATGAAGTACAACCTTGTAGGCTCCAGAAACATCAAATAAACTCAAACACAACATGTCATTTGCAAAAATACATATGAGAATCTACAACCTACATGCCAATTATCAACTATCAGGTGAGTTAACAAACAATAGTATGCATATCACGCAATTGACTCCAGCTACCTCACCGGAATGAGAACCCATAACACAATCCTCTGCCTTGAGATTAATCAGACGAACCAGTTGACTCCCATGATCTGAAACAAGCAAAACGCACCTCTCCGGCACAAAAACTACCTCAAAGTCATCCGAGAAAGTTGCATCCTGTGCCGGCCCATCGTGGTGGCCAGTTTTGTTTGAGTTACCTCCGGCAATAGTCGTCACCTTACCTAAAAGGTTACAGAATTTAGTGCCAAACAGCACATCAAATTCATAATTTGGAGAAAAATCCATTTAAGAAAATTTTACTTAATAATCACATAAAAAATTAATTAATAATAAAATTAATTATAAATTAAAAACCTGAGGCATCGATCTTTCTAATGGCGTGATTGTTCTTATCGGCAACGTAGATGTTGCCCTTAGCATCGACGGCGAAGCTTTTCGGTTTGTTAAATCGGGCACCACCGGCTTCCCCATCGGAATGACCCGCAACTCCATCTCCGGATAACCTTTCCGGTACGCTCTCTGCATTTGCAGACATCAAAGGTGAAAATTTTTAATTAATAATAAAATAAAATAATCAGAAATTAAGAAATTTTGCGCGCGATTGTAATCATTCGACAATCAGTACCATTAGAGAGGGGAAACGAGATGGAGTAGAAAACACTACTGGAAGAATCCAGCACTATCAGATCTGACGATCCCGGGCGAGGGAGGACGGCGTGAGGGTTGATTTTCAGTTTATGGCCTTCGATCACGGTGGTTACCTCGTATCCGTCTTCGAGAATTAGCTTAGATGAAACTGTAAATGTGGCGGCTGTTGGATTCAGGATGAAAACTGACCATGCTTAAAATCGAAAGAAAAAAAAAAGAAAAAAGAAATGGAACGCGAAAAGTTACTATTTATAACCTGTGTTGAAGAGGAGGAAGACAGCGAGCAGATACAAGTACGAAGCCATGATGATGGTGATCGGAGGCAGGAGGCGGCGTTCGGTGGTCGGAAGAGAGGGCTGGGAGAGTGAATGAAGCTCACTGTGCTTCAACCTTCAAGTGTACGCAGAGTAAAAATGAAGAAGACCCAGACATTGGTTATCGCGTTGGCCCCTTCTTGAGGGTACTTGCAAAGCTTTAAAAAAGAAAGGGAAAAAAAAAAAGGGGAGAAAAGAAAGAAAAAAGGAATAAAAAGGAAAAGAAGGTACATTCTTCACCCATAATTAAAGAAAGATTTAATATTTAATTTTTAAAAGTTCATTTAAATAACTTTTAAAAAAATTTAGCCTAAAAACTATTTCATATGAATTGAAATTTAAAAACAAAATTAAAAATTTTTAAGTAATTTTACAAGATAGACAATATATATATAATAGTTTTCTCAGTTTTTTTAAATTTAGTTTTAATCTATTTTAGATGGATAAATATGAGGGTAATAGCAAGTATTTATGAACTGAAGCGTATTTAACGCAAAAATTAGACAGTGAAGCGTACTTGGGCCTACAATCCAAATTTATCTGGAAGGCCCTCGTTCGACCCACGGGTCCACCACCAGTTTCCAAAGGCCACCTTGTTTTGATGGCCTATTAAAGAAATTTACGGTTTTAGGTTTTAAATTTGAGATTTGATTCAAATAAGAACACAATCTTTCAAAATAATTTTAATTGAGAATATAAATTTTCCCTTTTATACTAATCAAGATTACCATCTTATAAAAATTTCTAATCATAAATATGATCTTGATCGATAGATGGGTTCAGCCCAGTAACGGAGGAGGCCCTAATCGGTGAGCCTTCGGTGCAGAGGACACATCGAGGAATTTCCTATGTGGGCTGTTGGGCCTTAAAATAGACTTGCAGCAGCAATATGCAGACTAACTACATGGCTTAGTACGTACGTCAAACCTAAAAGACTTTAAATTTAGCCCAATCCGCCTAATATAATAGACATTAAAAAGCCCAATCCACAAACTGTTTTACATATCAGCAATGGGCCGAGGGGCACAATCAAGATTCTGAAAGGCCAACCACTCTCTCAAGCTATTACGGCAAGCGAACAGCTGAACATTCCTTAATTTACAGCAAATATTTTCAATAAATAATGGTATTTAAAACATTGGAAGGAGAACCACAAGATGTAGCATCAGTCCTGATAGTCCATCACCATGTCCCTAATTAATATTTCTAATATCCTTGACCTGAAAGGATCTGGAGGCCGAAAATCCTCCAAATGCAAATTGGAGCTTCTAAGAATCTCATTTAAGACCGTTTCTCCTCCCCCTTTTTTAATCATCGCCAAGGTGCTTCCAAGAACATCGCCAGCAAGCCCAAGCTGTCGAAGACGGCCTGCCTCCTCTCCACCATCATGTAATAGCTGGCCAATCTCCCTCAAGGATAAAACATCACCCATAATTACTCTGGCCAGGATAAGACCAAGATATTCAGCACCTTTAGGAGCATCAATAACAGCGTCCTCCAATGTACCCAGAACAGATTCAAACCTGACCAAATCAGGTATGGTAGATCAATAATAAGATTTTTAAAAGTAAATAAACTACTATCAAATGTTTCTTACCCTTTAATGAGCTGGCCTTGGCTCAGCATGCTATCTCGAGGCTTTGTAAGATTGACAAGCAGCATAGCTAACAGATCCCTTTCCAGGTCCTTCCTCTCAAAAGAGTCGGATACCCAAAGTGCAATCATTGATGGGTGGAAACTTGGAGAATTCAAATCTCTGATGCAGAGTGCTACTTCTTTCTCATCTCTTGCACTGCAGAAAAAGAAAATTGTAACGTGATAAAAGTAACAGTACATGGTGAGTTCTTACTGTACAGCAACAACCATGTTCAATTGCAACAGGCCACCTAGCCACTCTTCCACCCTTTTATTAGGAAACCTAACTGATATGGGTGAGTGTAGAACTTGACAGAGTGAATATTTTCCTTAAATTATGTTGCCTGCACTGGTACATGTACACCAATCAAAAGTCTTGGCCCTAAGCTCATGTATTCTGGCAACACCATCAAAACCAACCAAAAAAGTTATGTTCTGAATTTTCAGAAACAAAACCATTTTTTCTGCAAAAATCCACAGTTCGTTTATAGATAAATAGATCTTATGATGGGACCAATGAAGACAATATCAAATAACAATAACTTTATCTTATAAGCCAACAAACTATTCCCAACAAATAAGTCAGAGAACTTCATCCTTCCCTATTTCAATCATGCAATAGAATTTTATTTTCAGATTGTTCCAACAGAATAATTGCTTTCTCAATTTCAGCAAATTGAGCAGCACATCTAAAGATTTTATGCAACAGATATGGTAAAAGCTTGTTCCACAAATACATCATGTTCATCACCTCTTTTAAGTTCTGAATTTGAGCTTATCAAATTTCTTTCACAGCATGAACTAACAAGTATGAGGCAATAGTTTAACTAATCAGTACTGTCTGTCAACAAAATGATTTAGTCAGAACAACCCATTTTAGAATCAATAATTAAGTTCCACTTTTATGCAAATTAATATCTAAGAAGAGAACCGGCATTCACAAGACTATTATTTCCATAAATGACTATGATATCTCATCATGATAGGGTAATAAACAAATAAAATACAGAGGCTCCTGTAGCAAGATATATACTCAAAAATACTAACATATTAATGGATGCAGCAAAAAGACCATGCATGAATCAAGACGATAAATACCTGTAAAACTCTTTAACTGCTGCCATGGACATATCCCGGAGGCATTCTTCAGACCACACTTTTTCTTGAGGGATATTTTGAGACAAACCTGGTGCTTGGCCTCGTGCAGATGGTGAAGCTGCAAGAGGTCTATCAAAATTATGATCTGGATTCCTGGGGTCTCTATTACCATAACTCATATTGCGTTCTTGGGAACTCAATTGGTCATAAGCAGCTGGCCCTGGAAATCTATCCAGAGTATATCTTGGAACAAGATCCTCCCTAGAGCCAAAAGTTGTCCGCTCTGATTCAGAATTAAACCCATTCAGACCAGCTGATGCTCTTCTTGAGTTTCCAGGAGAGGCAGAAATATCAGATATGGGATTGCTTTGCATTGCTTGTGGCCCTCTAAAGGACCTGGCAAGGCCACCTTGGGGGCCTAAAGTAACTGAATCATCAGCACTTAATCTTTGAGACAAGGGGACTAACAAAGTCCAAGCCTCAAAAGACTGTCTATCCTCCATGCGAACATCCTGACCCCAAAAACCATGAGTCTGGGAGGGCAATCCATGAAAACTACCCATCTGTGCACCAGGGGAAGATAACATAGTAGACCCTCTTGGACCAAAATCCATGGGTGCCCTTCTTGCCACAGGATTGATTCCTGGGCCACAACCAAGCCTACCAGCTTGGGCCTGTCGTTCTTGAGCAGCAACTCTTTGCACTTCCTCAATCTCCTTTGGCCCCTCAACTTTCCTCCTCTGCTGCCATTTGTTCTTTCTCAGATCAATTGCATCCTTCAACATGAACCTAACTCTAGAAGATAGTTTCATATTATTTGATAACTTTGCCATCATGTCAAAATATGAATCCATACGCTCCTTTGCTTTGGGACGGTCAATCATCTCTCCAATTGTGCTCATCAATGTGCACAAAGCCTCGACATCTTCCTCATCAGGATTCTGATGCTGACCCAGTAACTTTGTGATGCATTCATGCATAATTCTTTCACACAATATTTTCTTCTTGTACAACTCCCCAATGAGTCTAAAGTAACCCAACATACGTCTTCTTGCCTTGATTCTCTTCTCCTCTGTTTCCTCCTCAGACTGTTTGGCTTCACCCTGTTCAACTTTATTTGCTTCCTCTTGTTCCCTCTCCCCTTTCTCAAATTCCATCTGACACTTGTTAATCAGCAATCTCTTGAAAGTTATCTTCTCATTGTCTTCAATAAAATCAGGCAGTGCTCCAGCAAGATGATAACAAAAGTTTGCATACATTTCACAAAAAGTAGGCTCCATCAGAGCTTTGTCAGAGATCTGAAAGATGAAACCAGTGAGGGTGATGGCATTGTTAATGTTCACAGCTTTCACTTGTTCAAAGAGTTTTGAGGAGTTTTGAGGAGTCAGTTTGTTCAAAATTGCTTTTAACTGCCTTTGCTTTGCCTCCTCCTCATCTGTCACTTTACCCACTTCATTCTTCTTTTCAGCCTTGTGCATCATCTGCAGTGGTGTCTGTGGAGAAGGAATCAGTGCTCGTTTCCCAGATTGATTAGGCAATGCTTCCATGTCATGCACAATTGCACTAGGCTGCTGCCTTGCTGTCAACAAAACATGGTTAGGAAAGGTGTAAGTAATTGATCTGTTAACTGGAATATCATATAATCAGAACATAAACTTAAATGAGCAATAATATAAGGGCAACACTTATGTGAGGGATGACATAAGGGCGGATTGCCATCCCAATGATTATGCCTAATATACATGAAAGTAACAGTGCTACACTCCAAGTTGTCACTGCTCCCAGTGCTGATAAGATGAAAATAAATTAATGTAATTCCTCAGGTTGCGATCTAACATAGCTAAAAATTGTAGTCAGAAAATGCTAGAATAATTTTCAACAATATAATGAGCTCTACATCAGCAAAAGACTTGCTTCTGGAAATAGTAGATGGATAAAGATGCAGGTAATAGCAAGTATTTATGAACTGAAGTGTATTTAATGCAGAAATTAGACAGTAAAATGTATTTTTGCCCCTCCTCATGTGCATTCCATTTTTTTAGGAATGTTTTTATGGCCACATTTATCGGTAAGAAACATTATGAGTTTGCATCATATAGGATAGTGAAGTATCCCTGTATCAGAATAGTCAGAAAACACTTATATAAGAAGGTGTCCCAAACTTCCAATTTCAGTCTTTTCCTTTCTCATGTTGCATTAGAATGTGAAAAATGAAGAGTCCATGTTGCAATGACAAAAAATTTAGAAAGTCAATATTGCAACTAGGGATAGAGCATAAGCATCAGAAGTAAATGTTCATCACAATCCTTACTCCCTTCAGACATGTCATGAGATAAGAAAACATGTTCCATACAGGAAATATAGATATTATCAATTTAACACGACATAAACTCTATAGTTGAAGAATTTGTTAGGCATCGCTTCTTTGCCAAAAGCTTGTGATGGCCTTGGTGGGTCGATCTCTCATTGCCTCACAATGCGTTACGGAAGATAGAACTGACTAAACTTAAACTCAAACAAATCAAAAAGACACAAACAGAAACAAAAACCATTTTCCATCTAAATGCCAGCTAGAAACATGCTGAGATAGCTCACTTCTTCCTGCCTCGAGAACAAAATGCAAACAGCCAAAGAGACTACATATAATACCGTTAAAGGAGACAAATTTTAGTAAAAAATCGTATTAGGTAAACTACGGCTTGTCCCTAATACTGACACAAAAAGGATCACATGACCAAAACATTTTTAGTATGTGTCTTAAGACGGTTCTTTTCAGTTTTTTCACCATGCATCACTGGTTTTGCATCTTGAAAACCCTAGACACATAGAAGACATACAATCTACAACCAATTTCATAATACCCCACAAAACAACGCCATACTGACATATGAAGTACAACCTTGTAGGCTCCAGAAACATCAAATAACCTCAAACACAACATGTCATTTGCAAAATACATATGAGAATCTACAACCTACATGCCAATTATCAACTATCAGGTGAGTTAACAAACAATTGTATGCATATCACGCAATTGACTCCAGAAACCTCACCAGAATGAGAACCTATAACACAAGCCTCTGCCTTGAGATTAATCAGGGAAACCAGTTGGCTCCCATGATCTGAAACAAGCAAAACGCACCTCTCCGGCACGAAAACTACCTCAAAGTCATCCAAGAAAACTGACCATTGAAGTTAAAACTTAAAATCAAAAGAAAAAAATGGGAACGCGAAATGTTACTATTTATAATCTGTTTTGAAGAGGAGGAAGACAGCGAGCAGATACAAGTACGAAGCCATTATGATGGTGATCGGAGGCAGGAGGTGGCGGTCGGTGGTCGGAAGAGAGGGCTGGCGGAGTGAGTGAAGCTCACCGTGCTTGAAGTGTACGCAGAGGAAAAATGAAGAAAACACAAACTTTAGTCATCGCATTGGTTACTTTTTGAGCACGCCTTGCAAAAGCTTTAAAAAAGAAAAGGAAAAAAAAAAAGAGTAGAGAAAAGAAAGAAAGGAGAAGAAAAAGAAAAAGAAGGTAAATTCTTCACTCATAATTAAAAAAAGATTCACTCATAATTAAAGAAGGATTTATAATTTAATTTTTAAAAGTTCATTTAAATAATTTAAAAAAATTTAGATGTGTAATTTTTAAAATTTTTAATTTTTAATCTATTTTAAAATTTTAAAATTCTACTTTAATAAAATTTTAAATTTATAAAAGAAGAATTCATACTTACAAAATGTCTCTTTATTCATTTTCAATTTTCTAATAAATTTTTAAAAACTTATTGTGTAATTTAGATAAGATATCTTTAGTAATAAATCATGTCAAAGAAAAAAGAAAGAAAGAAAGAAAAAAATATCTTTTGAACTTTTTTTTGTACTAACTTTCAAATATTTAAAAAATACATTAAATTTAATTAATTAAAAGTTGAGATATGTTGAATTTCATAAAAGAAAACTCTCTTTTAACATTAATATTTTCATTTATAAATTTTAAATTTAATATTTTATTTAATAAAAAATTAAATTTTTTTATTTGGTATAAATTTTAAATTTAATATTTTATTTAATAAAAAATTAAAATTTTTTTATTTGGACCAACAGTTTATTAATATAACTTTTGGACTTTTTACTTAGTTATTTGTTCTGATTAAGTGATTACACTAACTTTCGACCCCAAATGAGTATGCATACTGCCCCACCATTACATCTAAAGATAAGTTTTGGTTTGTGTGAAATGAAAGAGATGGAAGGGATGAAAAGTTTTTCGTAATTAAGATTTTAACTTAAAATTTTAAGTTGATTAAATACTAAATTTATATTTTCATTTTTTTTTTCAAATCAAACATATTCTAAATGACAATAAATAATAAAAAAAAACCTAGATATAATGTAAAAGTTAACATCCAGAGTCATGTGATAGCAATAGTTAAACTCTTCCTTAGTGTGTTATCAAGTTAGCTTCTTGCCTACGATGAAGATAGCTTTTAGGATAAAGGGTCTATTTAGTGAAGTGTTTTTGAGTTTTTATTTTTTTGGTACTGTTTATGAATTATAAATTTAAATTTTTATTGAAAAAAATAATAAAAAGTGAGTAAAAAAAAATTTATAAAAAAATAAAAATCTGAAACTTTTAAAAATTTACTGTTTAAAATCTTTTTAAGGTAAAAAATATATATATAAGTTTTTTAAAAAAAAATTTAAACTTATAAAACATAAATAATGTTAAAAAATTAAAATACTTACAAACTTCACTAAACATATTTAAAGAGTCATTTGATAACAATAGTTGTAGTTGTACCACAAAAAAAAAAAAAAAAAATCCTTTTAACATAAAAAAATTTAAAAAAAATATTTTTTCATTTTTATACATTTACTTTTATTTAAACAAAATTTAAATCTTTTCAAGCTCTTAGTCAGCTTGATTTGTAGAGAATTGAGTGGCACAAAAGGATAGGAGGAGGAGGGAATGAAAAAACAATCCCCATTTAAATATGTTAAAATAGGGGAAAAAATGATATAATTTATTATAAATTTACAGTTATAACCTATATGTATATAATTTAACTCGTTTTGTTTAGGTTATGTGAAATCATGTTTATAGGTATTTTAGTTTTTAATTTTTATATTTTTTTTATTTTTTGCAAAATATAAAATATTAATTAAATAAATATTAAATATATTATATAAAAAAATAAAATTAAAACATTTTAATATTTACAATAAAAAAATTTATTTGAAATTTATTTAAATATCCTTAAAATTTTTATATATTAATTTATTAAAAATATTATTTCTTTAAAAATATTTAAATAAATTTATAAAAACTTGTAATATTTAATTGACAATGCAACTTAATTTTTAGAATCCCTTAATATATTTTTAAAATATTTAAAAATTAAAATATCAACAGCTGTAACGACGCTTTATAACTTAAGCTTAACGTTTAGTTTATATGCTGGGTTTTTCTATATGTGTTGTCGTGGAAGAAAATAAAAATGTATTTATTATATTTTTTTATTATAAATATATAAAAAATATAAAAATTAAAATTAATTTTAATGTTAAATAAATTTAATTAAATAATAAATAAATTAAAAATTAATTTTTATTTTTAATATAAATTTATAATAAAATATATTTAATATATCATTTTTAATGCACAAATTAAATAATTTTTTTTTATATTGTATACATCTGTAAAATAATGATTTTGTTTAACAAAGCAGTCAGCTAACTGTCAGTACCCACCAATAAAATCCCGACGCAACACGTGAGAAGAAACTAGTCACACGTTTGGCGTCCCTTAACAGAATCACAATTCGTAGGTGACCGATCTAAAACACTAACGGGTGATCGACTCTCCGCTCGAAAAAAACTAAAATATTATTTTTTTTATAATAATTTTATTTTTATTTTTGTTCGTTTTCCACTTCGTTCTGTTTTTACAAAGGCATTCATCGTCGTCACTGAAAGAGGGAAGAAATAGGGACACCTCCTTTTCTCTCAGATCCAAATCTTCCTTCGGTTCTCCGGCAGATCTCTTCCAATATCGTATTCGGATCTTGGCTGTTGAATTCGGATTGTTCGTCGAGTGTTCATCGGCGGTTGATCTGTTGCAGCGGCTGCTGGTTGTGCATCTTAGTTGAGCTCTCGACGCAGCTTCTACCCTGGACCCAATCATGAATCCTTTCTCGTCCTCTACCCGTCTAAGGTCAGCACCAATTCATACTCTCTACATTTTTTTTTCTTAGATCAGGTGTACGTAATTTGAACGAGCTAATGTTGGTGCATTTCGAAGTATTTTGTTTGAAGTGAATGGATTTGAGAAGTTTGGTTGCTATTTACGTATTATTCTCCTAGCTTGAGACGATTGATTCTGAATTTTGTATGAACTTAGTGTTTTTGTTTTAGCTTGGTTGTTTCATGATTTGGTTCCCTTAATACAGGTGTTTGGTTTTTCTATTTGATGGGGTTGTGCATTTGTAAGGGTTGCTTGATTATGGTTAGTGTAGTTGTAACTGGCAACTAGTGGTGGAAATGTGGAAATTGTATAGGATATACCCACTTGGTGATTTATCCAGAAATTGGTTGATCTATGGTTTTGTGGTTTTTTTCTTAGGGATTGGGATAATGTTTGGTTTTATTGATGAAATAACTCTCTTGAAGCATTATGTGAGAAATGCTGTGAATTTAGGATAAGATTCCTTATAGTGGATTTGTGTAGTTGGTGGAAAATGGTAAACACTTTCTGCTATGATGCAGGGATATGATACGAGCTATACGTGCATGTAAAACGGCAGCTGAAGAACG